AGTTCCTATTATTTTATTTTCATTTTGTATATTCTATATTGAATTTGAATGCTGTAAAGAAAAACTGCTTATCTATATTTACATATTTATATATATATATAAAAGAGGAAGTTTGTTTATTTGTTCGCTATAGGAAACCAAACGGTTGAACTTACAAATTTTAAAATAACTTCATAACAACCCATATATATATATATTATTTTAATATAACTCTGAGTTTTATAATCTTGATAAATTTCAGACTTGTCTAACAACAAATCAACATCTACTTCTTTACAGCACATGATGACTGACACGAGAAGATAAAGTTAATAACGCCCAGTGATAAACTCTCACTAGTCAACACGGAATTACTTTTGTGTCTAGTAAAGCCCACAGAATTAGCTTTTAGCGTAAATAAACATAGTATTTACCTTTTCACACAGCTCCAAAATTTGAAATTTTTTCCAAACTCCTCACCATCCTTAACGGTTTGTGGTAAGTGAGTGTTTAAGGTTTCTGGCAAAAATGCGACTGCTGTTGCCCCCGCAACAGACATAATTCCCATAATGATAATCGGAACCACTCTGCCATATAATTCGGACTGCGAAAAGAAGAAAGAATAAAATTAACGAAAAGTTTACTAGTTATACAATAAATTTGTACTTGAATATTAGGTTCACTTATAACTTTTTTCTTTCTCTTTTCTAAACACTGCCATTGTGAAAGTTACTGCTAGTTTAGTTATTTGTTATTTAACTCTTTTCACTGCCATTGTACTGACAAAACTTTTATAGCGTGCCAGCTTTATTTTAAGATACACATGTGGTGTTCTATAATTACTTATATCTCGCTTGTTATTTATTAGATCAACAAGAAATGATAATCGCCTGAAATATTTCATAAATGTTTATGTTATCAGACTATGGTTGTTGATGTTGTTGCAAAACTATACAATGCACTCTGCCGATCACAGAAAATCGAATGTCGGATTGTAGCTTTGCAGTTGTAACTTACTCCTGGCTCACTGGGGGACTTCTCAGAATTGAACAAATAATTACTTGTGCATTTATTTACAACATTTATAAGTGAATATGCAACATTTATGATATTAATGTATAATTATTTCTCAAAACATTTACTTAATATCACACTTTTCTAAGCTAAAATAAAGGCTGTACATAGTGTTCCATACTGTGCCTACAATAATTATTCGGGGAGTGCCGCATTTCTTATATTTATAATCTTTTATGTTGAATTTGAATGCTGCAAAGAAAAAGCCATTTATTTGCACTTAATGTATATTTAAAAAAACTTGAAAATAAAAATGAAACACCTTTTCTCGTATAATAAATAGTTTGAACAAATATTTTTTATATATATATGTGCTCAAACAATTAATCAAGCTCTCTGAAAACAATTTATCAATTAATCGAGAATAAATATACTAAAAATATTTTTACCAGATGTTAGTTGAAATTGTACAAATGAAAAAGCACACATAAGATAATAAGAGTCTCTGTTTTCAGAATAATTCATCATTTCACCTCAAAATGGAGAAAAGAAAGTACTCTGATGCTGTCAAATGAAGGTTACAGCGAAAGTGAAATACAAGAAAAAACAGACAAAAAACTGAAAATACCACACCAATCAGTGCACTCTATACTAGAGAAGTACAAACAAACCAAGAACGAGAGCAACTTGCAGGGGTGTATTGATCCACTGGGACACCGGGCAATTGCCCAGTGGGCTGGTGCATTCCTAGAAATTGATTTTAAATGTTAATTGTTTAGCCAGTATGCAGCCTTAAATATTGTCTGGGCTGGTCCTTTAATGCCAATCTGCCCCTGGTAGAGAGAGGAAATGAATCATCATGGAGAAACAACTAAACAGCTGGAATAAAATCTTTAAAAAATTATTACAGGAAAAGTGTTTGAATTTTATTTCCACATTTCCATAATATACACTAGCTGAGTTACCTGGCGTTTCACGGTGAAAATTTTGATTCGAAATGTATGGATCAGTATTTTTTTCAGCAAATTATTCGGTAAGTAGACAAAAGCTGTGATACAAGAAATAAAAAAGCATTTAATAAAACAAAGCTTTATTTGAAATTAGAACTTACGATACTTCTTTATATACAACAGTGCATGTTTTTCCAAAAGGAGAGTATACATAAAGATTGTTAGCTGTTCCTACTCTAGAGCATCCTACATACAGTTGACCATGAGAGAAGCAGTCTTCTTGTAATTGTAGCCCAACAACTTTCACTGTTTGTCTCTGTGATTTGTTGATCGACATGGCAAAACTTAACCTTACTGAAAATTGTAAGCGCCTAAACTGAAACGGCATCTCTGATGTTATTAGAGGTATCATAGGAATAAAAGTATCTTCACCCTTGCCACAACCAGTTTGAATTTGTTCTTCAATGACCTGAGGCTGTAATGCCTTTATTATTAATCTGGTACCATTGCAGAGCTTAGGCTGATCTAAATTTCGTAGAAGCATTATAGGAGCTCCAACTTTAAGTTGTAGTTGGTGAGGAGGCAATCCTGGAAATTCCAAAAAATTTAGAAACTCCGTTGGATAGTTGACAACTTCATTTTGATCGATAACTGTATCAATTGATTTGTAAATATAAGGATTCCCTGGAATATTTTGGAGGAGTCGTTGGTTGATAGAATTAACTGTCACATTTTTCGGTGCCAATATTGCTCTTTTACACAACCATGTAAAGTCTTTGTAGTGATAACTAAAGTTAGTAAATACTCTTACTGTTAATTCATTAACACTTTGGACCACTGTGCTGATTGTAGATATAATGACTTTGTTGTCATGGTAAAAAAATATATTACAAAAAATGGCGCAATAATCATTAATTGTCATTTTCGTCATTAAATACTATACCAAATAAAAAAAATAGCACCATTAAATTTGTTGTGAAAAACTTATCACCTTGTATAAAACAAACATTTATATCGTCATGTATAAAACAAACATATATATCACCTTGTATAAAACAAACATTTATATCGTCATGTATAAAACCATATGTTTGTTTTATACATGACGATATAAATGTTTGTTTTATACATGATGATATATATGTTTGTTTTATACAAGGTGATATATATGTTTGTTTTATACATGACGATATAAATGTTTGTTTTATACATGATGATATATATGCTTATCATCATGTATAAAACATATATATCACCATGTATAAAACAAACATTTATATCGTCATGTATAAAACAAACATATATATCATCATGTATAAAACAAACATATATATCATCATGTATAAAACAAACATATATATATCATCATGTATAAAACAAACATTTATATCGTCATGTATAAAACAAACATATATATCATCATGTATAAAACAAACATATATATATATCATCATGTATAAAACAAACATATATATCAGCATCGATAAAACAAACATTTATATCAACATATATAAAACAAACATATATATCATGATGTATAAAACAAACATTTATATCGTCATGTATAAAACAAACATATGTATCACCTTGTATAAAACAAACATTTATATCGTCATGTATAAAACAAACATATATATCACCTTGTATAAAACAAACATTTATATCGTCATGTATAAAACAAACATATATATCACCATGTATAAAACAAACATTTATATCGTCATGTATAAAACAAGCATATATATCATCATGTAT